CACATATATAAAAAATATATTCTAGTAAATTTATCATATTAGATAATCATACATTTTATTTATATTTTCCTTAACTTATTCATATTTTTATACATACAGATTTTCCCATCAAAATCAACAAATTGAATTCCTACCACCACCAAAAACACCAGTCCAAACAATTGAAGAACAAATATCAGCAAACAGAAGAACAATAAACGAACTCAAAACATTGGATGCACAAAATAATCTGGTTAGTACTATTAACTTTCTTATCATTTTTTTACTACACTTAGCAAACAATTTAAAATCACAATATTCTATCTTTTATGCAAGGTGAAAAATTCACTGTAAGAGCGACCATAGTAAACTTTTCAACATCTCAAGGATGGTTCTACAATTCTTGCCCCAGATGTTATCGACAATTAAAACAAGCAAGAATAGGTTGGTGGTGCGATAGTCATGGCCATATAAAGTCAACGCCATCTCCATGGTAATTAAATTTATTACCGTACCATTTTTATTTATTATATATCTTTATTTACTTTAACAAAAAATTAATAACATTAAAAAATATGTGTATGTTACAGGTACAGATTAACAATTCAAATTGAAGATCATACTGGAGACATAGAAGTTATCGCTTTTAGCATAACCGCTCATGCATTAATAAAAAAAATCATGTTCTGCACTAACAATTGACGAAGGCTTTACCGATCCATTTATAATACCACCAGCTATCGATCAGATCCGAGGACAATCAAAAATCTTCCAAGTCTTCTTTCAACAACGAAGCACCCAAATGAGTACATTAATTTCTAAAATATTTGAAGACATCCATGTTCCATCATCACCACCAAAACAGTTAACTACAGGAACAGAAGAACCACAAAGGTAAATAATGTCTTTAAAATTTTTTACCAACTATACATAAATAACATTTATATTATATTAATCACAATTTTAAAAATCTTCTCATCTTTCAGCCCACAGGCAATACCATCGTCACAACTATCAACACCGACCACATTTGATCCACACACTCCAACACCAAAAAAACCTGACACAAGGTAAACCACATTCAACACAACAAAGATTATCAATTTATTTAAAAATATATCTACATATTATTCTATTTTTTTCAGTCCTTAATCAAGAACAACAAGACAATCTACAAAACGTCCAAAAACAAGGTAATATAAATATTTTTATAATATTTATTTCATACTATATAATTTAACCATCTTTATTTCTCTTAACACTTATATTTACAACTATTTTTCTATTTTTATCCTTGCAGCTGAAAGAAATAAAATGTTGAGGAACCACAATAGCGTTATTTTTTATTTTGTACATTCTATATATATATAAATATTATAAATAATAACAATGTCTATA